GCTTCAATCTCCTCGTCTGCTTCGATTCCCTCGTCTGCTTCGATTCCCTCGTCTGCTTCAATCTCCTCGTCTGCTTCAATCTCCTCGTCTGCTTCAATCTCCTCGTCTGCTTCAATCTCCTCGTCTGCTTCAATCTCCTCGTCTGCTTCGATCCCCTCGTCTGCTTCCACCTCTTCACGCGGCTGCTCCGCGCGCGCCCTATTCTGGCGCTTTATCAGCAGCAGCTTGTTCAGAATATTCTCGCTGTCGTTTTGTTTGTATGCACTGGTGTCCGGCGGGATGCGCGAGTAGTCGGGGCCTTTTCTTCTCCCAGGTCTCGCTCTCCTTTTGATTAAAGACGAATCGCTAAAGCTACTTTCGTTCTTGTCTCTACCATTCGCATGTGTATTCCCTTGTGCGCCTTTTTTTCTGGGGCTCCCTTCGCTGTCGGTCAATATGACCTTCGGCTTCAACAAATTGGGATTTCTTCGCATTTCCTCTTCCCCCTGCGACGAACCGCGTGAATGGCGTTGATGGCGCGAATGGTGTGAATGACGTGCACCGAGTGAAAGGGGAGGGGCTTCCTTTTTCTTCGACGCAGATCTGTTAATCTCGTTCAAATAATTGTAGTCGAAATCATCAAACTTTATTCTACTCAGTGATATTAACTCATTATCAAAACTGTTCGAAAGAGAATCGGCAACTGAAGGGCGTGCCTTCGCATTGAGGAAAAAATGATCTGAGCAATCTTGAAGGTAAAAATTATCCCCCACATCGTGGTACTGGCTTTTCATTTTATTGTTCCATGTCTCTTCATAAAGATTTCTGTACATGTATTTGTAATAGCTTCCATCGCTGGAGTAATCTTCAAAGATGTTTTTCTTCTGTTTGGTCTTTCCCGATTTTGTCGCCTCTTTCTGATTCTCCCGTTGTTCCGCCTTCCCGTATTGCACCTTCTTGCCTTTTGCTGCACCTCCGTGTTGATCCTCACGTGCACCATTCTCCGCTTTGTCCACATGGATGTCTTCCTCGCGAGGGTTCTTCTCCACCACGCGAACGTTGTCTGGCTCTCCACTGGGATTTTCTTCCATTACCTTCCTTTCGTGCATCTCCCTGCGAATTCTAATTTTCTCCTCAAAGTCTTTCCTAATCTTTAACTCGTACAACTTCCTCTTCATGTTAATTTCATGCCTCATTCTATTCTCTTCATCGATTTTCATCTTTTCTTGATTAAAGTGTTCTTTAATCATGTCTAAATTTTCTTTTATCCTTTCATTCGAGTTGCTTCTTTTTCCCTCTCCGTGCAACTTGGAGTAGTTCAATTGGGAGCTGTTCAGCTTGGAGTAATTCAACTTCGAATAGTTCTTGTCCCTAGAAAGATTTTCCTTAACTCTTTTAATCACATTTTCATATTTTTTTTTTATTTCCTCTAGGCTGTCTATATTCGACATGTGCAGATCATTCGGAATAGTTTCAACGATGTTCTTTCTGTGCATATCGGTTTGGGAATTCGTCGAATAGAAGAGTGGATTCTTCGCTTTGGTCTTTACTCCTACGTTAATTGTTTCCTTCGTCTCAGGATTCAGTTTGCTTATCCTTTCCACGTACTTCTCGCGTGACATTCCTTTCACCATGGGAAGTTTCTTCTTTACCAGATCTGTTGGTTTCGTGAATTCACCACTGTGGTTGGTCTCCCCCCTTAGGGTATTCACAGGTAGGTTTGTTTTTCCCTTTCTTTTTAACTCTTCACTTTCGTGAAGAAGTTGGTTTGGGTACCCGCTCACTTTATTGGCTTCTACGTAGGGACTCCTACGTGGGGGTGACTTCCTCAAAAAATGACGATACTTTTTTAAAATGTGATCCTCACTGGGGTGTGTCCCTCCTTTGTCCTGCTCATCGATCGTGTCCTTTGTGTTGACCATACGGATATGTGCAGAATTCTCCTTCTCCTTTTTATTGCCTTCTGTTCTCATGGACACCTCAAGTTGACTTTCTCCCCTTTTTTGCACCTTGGTGGAGGAAACTTTCCAACCTTTATCTATTTTGCAATCTTTGTCTGTTTTCCAACCTTTGTCTTCTTTCCAACCTTTGTCTGCTTCCCCACTCTTTCCGCTACTTCCCTGACGGGCTGGGCTACGGGCATAGTTGTTACGGAGGTCTCCACTTACGAAGTTTTTATCTTTGCCGCTTTTCATCCGTTCTGAAATTGCCTGATTGGAATTCTTCTCTGTGCACGCCCTCTCCTCGTTCTGCCAATTTGGCTTGCGGTGGCCTATCCTATTTCCATTATCTTCGCTACGAGCTGGTAAACCATTCCTCCTATACTCTCCTGTGTTATCGTTACTTAACGCATGGATGTGCGAGTTGGTGTGTTTCCCCTTCGCCTTTTCGACTTCTGCCCTTTTTTCGCTTCTTGGGTCTACCTTTTTCCTAAGCGATTGATCCAAATGGCGGGTCGACTCAACCAAATGAGGAGCCGCTTCAACCAAATGGGGCACCACTCCATTTCTTGATGCCAGACTTCCCCCCATGCTCGTTTTTCCTCCGACCGACAAGTTAGACTGTTTCTCCTTTCCCTGGGTCGACATCCAGGCGCCTTTTTCCTTCTCTTCCCTCAAAGCGTAACCATCTTCTTCTCCTTTTTTCCTTTCTCCATTCGACCCACTGACATGTCTTCTTTTCAGGTCTAGATATTTCTCCCTCAAGTCATCCCATTTTTTACTCTGTTCGAATTTAAGCTCATTTCGGCTGTAATTCGAAATGGGTTCCACGTGGCGAATGTTTACTTCCTCTCCTTTTTTCCATTGAGGATCCTTTTCTCCTTTACTTAGGACAGAATGTTTAATCTTATCGTAAAGAGAGAGGTCCCTATCTTTACTTTCCACCGTCCATGGGGATGGCTTATCACCAACATGGATGTGTTGTTCACTAGGACGGTTCGCCTTAACCGTTTCGTATTTCCCCTGGTTGTTGAAGTTTCGTATGTTTTTTTCCTCACGTGGATACTCATCTGTGTCGCCCTGGTGAAGGTACGAATTTTTCCCCTCCTCTGGTCGATGTTCTTCTTTCTTTCCTTGAGGTTTGTTCTCCCCAACTTGGAAAGTGTACCTTAACTTGGTCTCCCTCTTTGATGTCCGCTCTTTAGTAGCAGCACCTCTTGACGCTTCTTTACCCCCCAGTGGGAAATTTTTCTCACCAATTTTATTTTCACCAATTTTATTTTCACCAATTTTATTTTCACCAATTTTATTTTCACCAATTTTATTTTCACCAAATTTGTTTTCCCCATTTGTCTTATCCTCTCTCTGTTCCTTCCAACCTTTTCGGCTACCCTCTCCACCTCCGCTACATCCCTTTGCGTTATCTGCTTCGCCCAGGGACTTGCCCACATGGTGTGATTCTTTCCTTCCTTCATTCTGCTGATCATCTCCCTTCTCTTTCTCATCGAATACGCCTTCCTCAAAATCGATCGTCTTTTCCATTTGTTTGACTTGCTCGAATCTTTCTCTGATCCTTTTTTCATCATCCGTGAATGTGATCTGGTTAAAATGTTTACTAAACTGGGAAAATCTACCCGTGGCGGTCCCTTTGGTTGCGCCTTTAATTAGGCTGCCCTGAATAGCGGCGGACTTCTCAAAATTTAAAGAGTTGCTTTTTTCCGCACCGACAGGTGCATCATAACTATTCGAGGTGGGGTCATCGTCACACAGGTGGGTGTCACCCCAGTTCGTATCACCCCGACTTGTGTCATCGCTGCTTTTACCCTTTTGAAGGTCCCTCCCCCCGTAGGAGAGACCCCCATGGGTGTCCAGTGCACTATTCTTCTTTTCCCCTTCGGAGGAGAAATACACCTTGGGTAGATTATAACTGGGCAAAAGGTTATTTGCTCCATTGGGTGGATGCAGTTTAATAGGAGGTTCTGCCCCTTCCATTTCTTCCTTTTTCCTTTCGTTCAAAAGGGATGGAAACTTTGAATTATTTTTGCTCTCCCCTTGACAATCTTGGTCTTTATAACCCAAACTAATGCCATAATTTTTCCGAGTTATCAAACTTTCGGAGCTACCATAATAGTATTCCTTCTTTCGTTGTTCCAAAAGGAGGGGATATTTGCTCATATAACTTCGCTCGCCATGTTCACCACTTTTTGTTAGTTCCGAATTCTTTTTCGACATGTTCTCTTTTAACCAGTTCACACTTCCTTCTCCTTCTCGAGTTTCAGCAATGTCCTGAGCTGAACTCTCTTTCATTTCTTTATGTCCCCTTTGAAGAGACCTTAACGTATCCCACTGGTGGTTCTCACGATTGTGCTTATCATATATTTGGCTCTTTTTACCATCTAGGGGATTCTTTTCCCCCTTCAGATTAGTTGCCTGATCTGCGTGGATACAATGGACATGATTATTCCACCTCAAATTGTCGGTACCATCAAAATGGGAGTTGCACCCATCTTCCTTTGAATTGACTCCATCACGGTTAACTGAGTCTTCACTACTTGTTCTCCCATGCAATAATGTCATATTTTTCCTATACTTATTTATAATTTCATTTATTTTTTTCCTCTTCAAATTTTGTTCACTATGTTGACTCTTTTCATTCGGTCCGTTTATCCAATGGCGCTTCTTCCTATTGGACGGGGTGACTGTGTTGTCTTCCTTCATAGAATTCCCTAATGTTTCATCTTTGTAGCTTTTGTTTTTTTTTTTAAATAAAATTTCGCCATCTGTTGCAGTTCCCTGTGCCGCTGTTAGCTCATCCTTAGAGTGCCCACCTTTGCGGTCATTTTTGTCCCACCGATTTTTCGCTTCCACCAATTTGGCACTTCCATTCTCAAAATGGAAGCACCTCGAAGGGGGGTTATTCAACGAGGTGTTATTTTGTTCCGATTTTTTTTTCCCTGCATGGTCGTCAAATGGGTGGTCCTTCTTTGCTCTCCAAGTCTTTTCTTCTCCGATCCCTTGTTTCATCATATACCCGTATTCGTAGTCCACCGCTGTCTTTAGCGCTCTGTAATTGGTCGTCATTTCGGTCGTGCGTTACGCATTGCTCTTGTGTTTGATTGTAGCAGCGGAGAACGATGTCTCTGCACCTCTGAGTGCGCTTGATTACGCGTGTGCACGTCTGTGTAATCCAATCAATGTGCGCGACCGTTGGCGTGCTTATCCTCGTCTGCTCTGTGCTCTCCTGCCTAGCACGCGCGCTCGGGTCCCTGCATTTTGCGTCTTCCTTGTCACGTCGGTTGATTCCTCTCGGGAAAGTCGCACGTGAAATATTATGGCTTCGCCTTCTACGTTTTCGTAACGTTACCGCGTTATACTTTTCGCGGAGTTATTCTGGCCACTGGGATCATCAAGGAGTGTAGAACGTCGATCGATCGCACCTTTCCGCTGACGAGCAATTCGATTCCGCCCTTGCACCCGCAGAGGTTTCGTAGAGGTTCCGCGTTGCTGGGGGCACTGCGAAAAGAACACACGCCTTCGCGATTTTTACGCTGTTTTACGATGTTTTACGTTATTTTACACTTTTGTGCTGCTTACACTGCGCTGCTTACTCTGCGTTTCCTTTGTCCCTGCACAGGAAAGTCAAGGCAAAGTGAGGCAACCTTGTCACGATATTTACACAGGGCAAAAGTCAACAGTTGCGCAACTGGCAGGTGGTAAAATACGAACGACAAGAAAACAAAAAAACAAAAAAACAAAACAATCTCACAAATGACAGACACTTTGGGTTAATTAAAAAGCTTGTTAACGGGGGACACTTTTCAAATGTAACAATGTGCGATGGAAATAGAAATGGAAACGGACTATTCCCCAGTTGGGCAATTCGTTTCATTATCGTTTCATCATTTGGTTGTTTTTTATCCTTCCTTTTTTATTTTTATTTCGTTTTATTTTTGTTTTATTTTGTTTTATTATGTTTTACTTTTTTTTATTATGTTTTATTCTATTTAACATTATTTTTTTTCGTGTTCCGAATGTCACTGTGCCAATTCGAAGCTTTACAACATTTCGCCCAAGTGGCTATGGCTATGCCTTCCTCGGGAGGGAGCAAAAACATGAATGCCAACTCTGCACAGAGAGGATACGAGCGGAATGCGCGGTGGCATACTCATTACAATAGGCCCTTTCGCATCATCACGTTTGCGCTGTGCTTGTCTGTTTAAGTACACTAAGCATAATTGTACAATATTGATTGTGCTCTTTCGCTTTTTTGTCGCTTTGCTATTTTGTCATTTTTTTTTTTTTTCTTCGTATGCAAATCGCTTGATCGGTTGGAAAAAGAAAATTGACAGACGCAAATGCTAATCTTTTGTGAAATGAAAAAAAAAGAGCAACAAAGCAAATGTGTAACTGTTTCGTGCATTTTCCAAAATTTATTTTCAGAAAATGTTTTTAAAACACGAAATTGTACGCTTTAGACAAAAACGAAACAGAAGAATGGCAGAAAATGCGTTGCTCTGTTTTTTTTTTTTTTTTTGACCTACGTCAACTTATTGTTCTTTGGTGATGGCTAAAATGAAAGGGGTAACATAACACGTTAACTGCTTCGGCTCTTTTGAAAGGGCGTTGCTTTGTTCTGCTTTCATTTGCTTTACTATTTTTTTTTTTTTTTTACTTTTTTATTTTATTTTGTTTTTTTTCTATTCCTCTCCTGTGTGGCGTATACCCCCCCAAAGTATCACCCCCTCGCCATGGACACCCTTCCTGACACATTCTACCTATGCACCGCTTTGCTGGAGACTGCCATCTTCTCTCAATTTGGTGAAATGGGACAGAAGGAAAATTCCCCCCTTTGGCGACGTCGCTGTGGGGGATAACTGTGAAAAGAGTTCACGCGTAGGGGGCCGTATCAAGGTGAACATACACCAACATGGATGTACCCCAACATAGACATACTCGAAAGTTCCCCCCTCAGCAGCAGCGGGAGGAACGACACCCTTACAGGTGTTGCCCAAATTTTCGGCAAAACGAGAACACGTCGATCTATTCTATAGACTGAAAAAAAAAAGGCATAAAAATTGATGGCACATGAAAAGGTCATTTCCTATTTCGCGTAAATAAAATTGCGTGCCATTTTGTGGGAACTTTGAAAATTACGAAAGGGGGGAAAATTTTCCGTCGTTCTTTCCCCGTTGCTTCCACAACGACGATGATTCATTAACCGCATACTCCACTTGATTTAGCTAATTTCCAAACTTACGTTTCTGTTTACTCATGTACCTATATGCACAAATTATATTTTTTCTTTTTATATATGTTCATCTCGTCCCCTTCTCACGCATCATCCGTTGTCCGCTCAATTATGTAGAAAAAAATTTGGAGATTTTTCTCCCTATTTTCCGTCACCTTTCTGTGCAGTATCCTCCCTCAAAACGGTGATACATATAGTTAAATTATTTGATTTTATTTCGCTTCATTTCATTTTATTTCACTTCATTTCATTTCATCCCGGTTCACGCCCTTTTAAAGAAACCAACAAAGACGTTTGGAAAATATCTCCAAGGAGAAAAAAATGCCGTTGGGCGGACTCCACCACGCCTGTTGCGCCGTATGAATCTATTCTATTGCTTCCATTTTAACCTTTGGGATATTCTGCTTTCAAAAAAGTTGTGCGTTTCTTCTTCTCCCTTCGTGAAAATTTGGGAAAATAATTTTTCTCTAGTTTTGTTGTCCCCCCCCGCTGGTGCGTTGCAAATTGTGGCGCCTTTTTTTCCTTCCACGGCGTGCCCGCAAAATGGCGACGTCGTTTTTGAGGGAACCTCATAGTAGCCTCTTGGGAGCTTCACGTTACTTTCTCAACTCGGCTTCGCGTACACCTGCTTCATGCTGAGCTGGTGTTTATCTGATGCTTCTTCCATTGCAGCGGCGCGCTTCGGCAGAGTAGAAACTTTTCCCAACCGACAGAAGCACAAACACCCGCATCAGCTATCGTTGAGAACATTTTTTGCCCTGTTATGATTTTTACCTCGCGAGGAGGCCCAACCGTACGGCTTCCAGGAAAAAAAAAAAAAAAACGTGAGATTTAGTCCCCGTGGAGTTAAAACTAGGCCCCTCATCGGTCACTCCTTGCGGGGCCTAAGGAACGATGAAGAGGTCATCACGGTTGTGAAGTCATCACGGTTGTGAAGTCATCACAGCTGTGAAGTCACCACTCTGGTGAAGCAACCAAAAAGGGAGCACCATAACTGCCGTTTTTTTAGACTTTGTGAGTTTCTTTTTCTAACTGGGGCTATTTTTTCTCCCACCCGAGGGAAACCAGGGGAGGGAAATCACAATGCCGCTAAACGGGTTGATAAACGCGCCGCTGCTCGAACTTCTGCAAAAGTGGGAGGCCAAAAGGATAAACTTACAGAACGTATGTCTCTGCTTGTACCACTTGAAAAAAAATATACTCCAAAAATGGGCCGGTCGAAAGGACTTTCTATTAAGCAGCATCAACGATGTCACGATTACCAAATTTGTGGATCAACTGGACGTGAACCGAAGCGGAACCGTTGCAGACAGCACAAAGGATAAGTACTTCTTTCTAGCATTTGTAACGTTCGTCTTTAACACAGAAAATGAACTTTTCAGGAGGAGCTGCCACATGACCAAAGAGGTAGAGGAAAACTTCTGCAGGGTGTACAATCAAGATTGTGGAAGTGGAAAAAAAAACAAAGGCAAGAGAACTGATGAGGAATCACAAAAGGGGGCACTACAAAAAAGGATAGAGGATGATAAGAAGGACTTATTGAACAAAAAGGTGGGGCATCATCAAATGGGAAAGCCAAAGGAGGAATCACGTCACCCCAATAACGTCTTCGACCAGTTTGACGTACTCATAAAAAGGGCAATCGATCTGGAGGTAATAAATCACACACACGGGGAGGGGAACAAATTGCTACGTTGCAAAATTTATGTATTTTATGTTTTCTTAAAATTTATATTTTCCCTTACAAAGGACCTCCCCCAGATTAGCAAGTACTATTTGAAGCGTGTGAGGAATATCCTACAGAACCTGATGAGCATACCGTTGGGATTCCTGGGGCAAAGTGAATATCTTGTCCACCTTGCAAACGTCACGCTGCTCCTGATTGTGCATACTAATTTTCCTGCCGTGAAAGATTGCGAAAGGGAATTCTTAAACTTCTTAATTATGCAGCTAAACAGGAGGAAGTACTCCCTTCATACCATTGAAAAAATCCTTGTTACCTATTTGAAGAAAAAAAAAAACATCATTTTAAATGACCAAATTTATCAACAGTTACAAAGCCATTCCAATGATAATATTAACTTATTTTTAAAATATGGGAAAAAAGAAAACTTGTTCTTTTTCTTCAACCTTCTGTGCCTTTTTAATGGTTTACTCCATGCCCGCCTTAGCAACTCCAACCAGAATATCTACTTTGTAAAGCATGTAGAATGCGTCAACATAAATGTAAGCATTAAGGAGATGCTGGGAAACGTGCAGAAAGTGCTGCACTACTTGGGAACCATGTCAAGCGATTATTTGGCCAACAAAAAAAAATTGGACATATCTCTCACCGGGGGGGGGGCATACGTCTACTGTAAGGATGAACCACCACAGGAGGAATTCACCATTGAGGAAATCTTAAAAGGGAGGGAAGTAATGGGGAAGGAAGTAATAGAGAATGATCCACAGGAAATGTCCCAGGGTGGTTTACCCCAGGGAGAGAAAAATAGACAGCTACCCAACCTCTTTACCTACATAATCGATAACGTATTTTCTTTTTTTCGGGGCCTCATAAAAGAACAAGACGCAGAATCTATAAGCATGAACCTAAACCACTTGGTGAATTTTTTAAAACTATTCTTCATTCACAATAACGAATCGGATTTATTTTTAATAAATTTCGTTGGAACGAATTTTACTACTTATTGTAAAGAACTGCTGGAGAAATGCCCGTCCGCGCTGGACGAATTGGTCAGCCCTATTATGTGCCTCTTTAGGGTTGTAAATATGTTGACCCAAAATACGCTTCACGGAGGGGCAGCGGTAAAATTAATGAACATTCTCAGCAGCTTAGCAGAAATTGAAAGGGGGGGAAGTTGCCAAAATGGAGAAAGTGACCAAAGCGGGAAAGGTCTCCTCCCCGAGGAAAGCATCCTCCACAGACTGTACAACAACGCTCTTCACACCCTCTCCGTTTTCCTCAAAAATGTAGAGACGTACTCAAATGAACAAGTTAAAGAAAAGATCTTCATCCAATACGAACACTTCCTATTTCGCATCCTTGATAACGAAACGAATGCCAACTTTGATCTGATTTTCCGAAACAGCACTTCCCTGTACTTAACGTTAAAGCTGTTTTTCATTTTGGTGAAGCTACACAAATTTGACTTTGAAAATGTACATAACCTTTTTTTTAAGTTAATCAAATTGGAGACGGAACTCCCCACAGCCAGTCAACAAGGGGCTTCCCTTTTTTATAGAAATGGCCTACACAGTAATGCCGCGTTACTGCAAAAAATAAAGACATTCATTTTATCCAATTTGGATTTAATTTCTCGCGACACGGGGAGGACCAAAGTGGAGAAAGTGGAGCGGCTGGAACGGTTGGCAAAATCGGACGTGTTGGGACGGGCCGATATCTTGTCCCTGTTTGAACACCCCATCACGGGCAGCAATCCTAGGGGAAAGCTCCAAACTAACTTCAAAGAGAGCCCACGCGCTTCGCATATGAACGACGAGGTGACTACGACCTACAACGGAACGAAAAAAAACAAGAGGGCTCTCGAAAAGACGAAACTGCAAGGGGGAACCGACGGAACATGGGAAAACATACACGCGGAAGATACGTCGTCCAGCTCCATCACCACGGATGAACATTTTGAAGAGGAAATTACGCAGCGGCGAAAAAAA